CACCTGTTCCTAGTAGCGTCCTTGTTCCTAGTAGTAAGGCACTTGTTACTAGGCGAGACCTTTCACCCGGTCGTGCAAAAGATCCACCGCTGGTGATTTTTGGAAAGAATTTTTGGCGAACCTTTGGCGAACAAGTCACTCATCGCTACTAGGAGCAAGGACGCTACTATATAATAGCTCCTGGCATGGCACAACTGGCGACCTCAGCCAACCGGCGACCCCGCGCCTCAAGGAAACGCAAGGCAGTTCGGCCGCCAACCGGCTCGGAGTGCGAGTGAGCGGGGGAGAAACGGAGAAAGAGAAAGAGAGAGAGAAAGAGAGAGAGAGAGAGTCGCAAAAACGCAAAAATTTGAAAATCAGGCCTCCAGTTTTGTGCATTCACGTGGCAAAGGCACTGCTCCAGCCACGCACCTGTCTCGAGAGACAACTCAATCTCGGCCGGTCTCTTTGAAGGACACGGGAGAATAATTTGACATGTTCCTTCTTTGGAGGTCCCTTCAATGACTTCAAACAAACAAATGGTCTAAAATATGTGGAAAATAAGACAAAACAGCAACCTACAGGTCCATGCATGACGCGTAGAACCTATTCTGATGTTTCTTCTAGCCAGGCTACCAGGTTTCCTCCAGCATCTTCCTTGAAAACCCACTCACTGTCTACGAATGTGTTTGGTGTAGTCACGTGACGTGGCTACGCCCGCCATCCTCACGGGCTCCTCGCCCTCTGTGCGCCTAGCTGTGGCTGTCAGCGTTTCGCCCACTGCAAGGAGTAGATCCTCTGCAGCCGAGGAGGCCTCGCCCACACGGCCACGGCCGATGAGATCGGTCAAGGAGCAGCCGTGGCCCAAGCGTTTGGTGATGCGACCCAGCATTGTCAACCACAATCGCATAATGCCTCACAAACGCCGGGCGTGTTTTTTTCCAGCTAGTCGGTTGGAGGCCCTTTAGCTACTAGCAGCTCACAAGAATTCACAAATGCGTCTTTTCCCGTTACAACGTATATCGCAGTCGTGCGACAGCTTTCGCGACGAGATTTGCATCTTAGCAATAGCGCGTGGCAGGCGCGCACAATATGAGAGCTAAATTCACAAGGCGCTGCGCCTGCCGCAAAACTCGGATTCCTAAGCGCTGCGGCTACAACGAAATCTGCACTTCAAGGAGCACCGCCTTACTAAATCTGCACTTGGCATTGGATGTTCACCAGGCGCAGCCCTCCCACTGCCTTTCGCGCGGTATACTTCTCCCAAAGGCCACAAGACCAAACTTCACGGACCACTGCGTCTGCCACGAAATCTGAGCACACCATGTCCAAAGCATTGCGTTTTTGTGCTGAGCAAAACAACTCACACCTTGAAAAGTTGACTTGTCCGGGAAAGCCACACAAAACCCATGCCCGGCCAAGGAGCCGCACCATTCGCATCGCCAGTGGCCGAAAAATATGGGGAACTCCCCGCCCAGCAGGTGGTCACCAAAGCAACAGAAAGGATGAAAAAAAACTAAGGCACGATCCACATTTAGAATGGAGTTTGGGTGAGCACAAATGTGAGGTGTCCTGGAATACCTACGGGGCCCAGACCCTACGGAATGTAGAAAATGCAGATGGAGGTGGAGGCTGCTAAGTGTGCGACCTTCGTCGGAAACGGAAGTGGAGGTATGTAACTGTTGCCCAAAACGGAGGTGGAGGTTTTTAAAGTGTGTTAGTCGTCGAAATGGGACCTTGGTAGAAAAATGAAAGCAGTACAGGTAGTGCGGGAAGCAGCTTCTGGGAACTGCGGCATCAGAACTGACCACTTGGTAGTGCAAATGTGGTGCGGGAAGCAGCTTGTACTGGTCACTTGGTAGTACAAGTAAAATGTAGCGCGCGGGAAGCAGCGTGGCTTGAGAACTGGCGACTCGGCGGCGCCCACCGTGATGAATGTTACATTGTTGTATCTAGCCTGTTGCACACCGCGTGGCCAAATTCCGTCTGCGACGGCGCTGCGCCATGCGGTTTTGCGCGTCCATTCGGCGTGTCGTTGGGGAGCGGGATGATTGGCGGTGTCCACGAGTCTCATCTTACTATATCCGTAGCAACAACTTTGGAAACGTGCGAACCGATCTTGCAGCGCACGCGCAAATTAAATTTAACTATAAAACTCACTCTTTGTGTACTTATATACATCTCTCACTAGTCCACCCTCTCCTACGTAACCTTCCCTCCCACGCTCCCGGGCCACCCGTCGTCTAGCTTGTTTTTGTGGCGTTTTTGATATTATATAAGTATATTTTTTCTGGTTACACATGAGTTATCATGTATTTGCAAATAAGTGATATACGCGACGACAGTGGCACACTGACTATTTATCAACGTACCTTCCAGCTTCCGGCGCCTATTTGCAATGACAGTTCCACACTTTGGCATCTGCCACCGCCACTTTCGACAACAGTTACAAAAATTTGCAGTTCACTGCCCGTTTGAGCGCTCGACACGCGCCATCTCCGCAGAGGGTCGCCGTGGCGCAGCCGTAATTCGCATTTCGCCACACGTCTGAGCCAACAGCTCTACACAACCGTACCTGCAAGCCGCAGATGTACTTCTAGCGTACCCATTGTAGCATACATACAACTGCATCTGCGTAATCTGCAAATGTATATTTGCAAACAAATCTATTTGCGCCTCCCTAGCAGCAAATCTAAGACCACGCGCGCAAGCTGCAGATGTACTTACAGCACGCGCGCAAGCTGCAGATGTAGCCGTATAGCATACTTATAGCATACGTCCCAATGCAGCTATGAACAAGCCAGAAAGATATTGATTCAGATGTCTTACGCAAAAGATTTCTACAGAAGAACCTTCGCAACGCTCCCAGGAAAAACAACTAGTGTATAGGTCAAGCTGCGCAAGCGATCTGCTAGGGAACACCATGCGTTGCCGTCCAATTTCAAGCCGTCTAGTCTTTCAGCTGCCTGCAAAGCCAGCTCTTCCGTAGGTGCCTCAGTGGCCCCCTTGATGGGCCCATCTGAACCACCTCAACCCTCATTGCTGACGTCAGCGCTTGGATTTGCGCTGGCCAACAGGGTTTGGGCGCCCCAAAGTCTGAGATATATCGTGTCAGATCAGAAAAACGAAGTCGACCAAGAGCCACAAAACAGTAAGGGATTCTTCAAAGCAAGAGAAACGGTTGAAAAAGACTGAACATCTTTGTTTGTGAACGCAGCAACATCGAAACCGAAAATCTGCCAGCTTTGCTTCGATACCAAGACTTCCTGTATCTCATCCAAGACTTCTTGGATCGATGCTAGCGACACACGCTTCAAGCTCAAAGTTGAAGCCATCTCACCTTGAGACAGCAACAGGTTCACAAGGCTGAAGGCAAGGCAAAGCTGGACTCAGCATAACGGGAGCGACTGAAAAACGGTGAAAGGCTGAACAAAGCTGGGGGCGATGAGGATCTATTTAGAAATTTCCAAGATCAGTGAGTATTGCCAAGCACGTTGACGTGGCTGGGCCGTTGAGGCGCAAGCAAAGCGATATGACAATTGGCCAAGGAAGTGCCTGTTGAACATACATATGAACAAAACATTGTGTATATATGCGCCGATGAAATTTCAACCTAATATTCACAAGGTTCGGGAACTGCAGTTGCGCAGCGCATACGCTTGTCCGCCAATAGGCAAACTACGCAAAATTACATGGCAAAAAGTGCCTGCGAGCTGGAGGCGCGCGCAAATCACGCAACAACGTCAGCTTCAACCGCCAAGATTTCGTTTTGAAACTTCACACTTTCCGCGGAAGCTTCTGAAGCTGTGACGCCGCACTGGTTGCATGGGCGTCTACGCCTACGCACAAACTGTTGGTTCCTTGACACGGTCGACGTGGCCCGATGTAAACCGGTCCGGCGACGGGCAGTCCGCGCAGTGATACTGGACCGTGCGCATTGGTGAAAGCAGGGCCACGGAGGCTCTTCCATTCGCAAACGTCGAAGAAAAACCATTTGGCGAGCGCCCTTTTCAAAGTCCCAGCCATCCTGCAAAGAGAAACTTCACTAATTATTCATGTTCTGACGTCGGTTGGCGGTCTTGCTGTCTTCCTTCTGTCTGCACAAATATTGCTCAAAATCCTCGATAATTTGAGTGTCATGAAACAGTTGCGAGGCAGTTTCTCGTTTGGCACGCAGTCCCTGGCGCGCTTCACACTTGCGGGCGAAGGAGATGAGCTGGGCGATGTAGTTTTGACATCATGGGCCTGGCCTGGATGAATGTATGACCGCCGCATCATCGTCTCGAATCGACTGCGAGCTGCTTCATCAGGAGTGGTTCCATTCTTCTGGCAGCAAGGGGATGGGCGTCGCGCGCCCAAATGAAACAACAGCAGTGAAACTTGCAGTTTCCTCCTCGTCGGCGCGCAGCCATTGACGGTCAACATGGACGACGATTGACTACGACCTGGCCCCTTCTGCCCAAATAGTTGACGGCGTTGCCAAGGCTTTCCAGGACCGGTCAGCAAAAGAGTGGCACCTCTCGGGGGATCACATGAAGTTAGCTCCAGAATACCAGAAGGCAACTGAAGTGATCTTCTTCGTTCCATTGCCAAAGCGAAGGCCTGTCGCGCAGAATTTGCTCACATGGCCAGGCGATATGTGTGAAGAAACTGCCGGCGGAGTCACGGCCCATGTAGTCACGATTCGTCTGCCTCTTGCCGCGATGAGATGAAGACTGCGGCGTTTCTCGGCGTCAACGCCCGTCGACGACGACGACGGTCACCCGTGACCGACGCACAGCACCTCTGACATCACGGACCCATCGCCCTAATCTCCGTGACAGGCTGGCCCGTAGGCCAGTCAGCCGGCTTCGAACCTCCTTGTGTAGCCGCCCTTGCCACCTTGCGACGCTTGTTCGAATGGAGCCATCGCGACACGTATAGTGACCTCGACTCGTCATCCTCATTGCGTGTAGTCACTGCCTTGCTTCTGTAAATCCAGCCAAGATTTCACCATACCGGCTGTAAGGTCATCATTCACAACTCGCAACATTCATATCATCTTCTAGTTCGTCATACGCGACTGCATTGCGAACATCTATAACCTCTATCTAGCCCTTTACACATTCCTCGGCGGGCTCATACACCACTTCATCTTCTTCATTGTAAACCGACTCCTTTTCCGAACCTGCATGGACGCTGTCCTGCCTAGCGACAGCGTAGCGACAAAGTTCATCACCCTGCGAATTGTTTCCAACGACAAGGTTTCACTGCGATGGCACCCATGGTCGTCAGGCCAGCTCTTCTCATGAAGTGCCAGCCAACGTGTTTCCCCCGTCCATGCTCTGACATGGAGATATCCTCACAGGTGTCCCAAGCCCAACCCTTGAGGGTCACCAGCACAATGAAACTGGTCTCCTCCGATCTCCTGCCAGGCTTGTGCTTTCGTGCAAGAGCAACCTCTTCCGACACTCTTTGTAGCCCATGGATTTTCCAATACAACCAGGAAACATCATGAGCTTTTCGTGAAAATACGGTAAGACCGTTTGGCTGGGAGGATCCGGGCACGCAGCGCCAAAACACAGGCTCTGCGCCACCAACAAAAGTTCGACCCAATACTCACGAGGTTCGGGAACTGCAAAATTGGATTTGGATATCGCCACATCTGTCTCATCTGGTCTGCCCTTTTGGGCTGTGGCGATTCAACTGAGCTGGTTCGCATGCTGTTGTCAAACGTGAAGCCAGGAGTGCATTGTTGAAATCAATTGAACGCCCGCCCCTAAATTCAAAAACAACAGAGAAGTCTTCAGGTATATCTGACAGACTGCATCCCTGTCAACTCAAGAACAACCACAAAAAAACAACAATACAATAGACATCAATAGAGATTCTTGCCAAACCATTTAATGAGCAAGAAAGAATCACAAGAAAATATGCGATTGCCTGCTGTTCTGCATTGCTTTTTGCTTTTGCACAAAGTGACTCTCTTCAAGGAGTACTTTCAAGCTCTGCATCTGCATGGGCAACGCCACATTTTCAATGACTGCTGTCACTTCAGGTATTGCTTCGATGACCGCTTCGGGCATTGCGACAGCCAGCTGGATGCCTTCTTTTGGAGTATTCTCCTGGACTTCAAAGCAGGGTTTCGAGTGATTCTAAGAAGGACTTAGTCTATTCCAACAATTTCTAAAATCTTAAATACATGCGAACAATTTCTGGGGTTTCAATGATTGCGTCGTGCCCCTTCACCTCCAAATGCTTCGAGGCGAAGTGAGGTGCTGGATCCCGGGGCTGAAAGGAGTTCATCTCTGAGTCTTGGCCAAAGATATCCATGAAAAGGCTTGTGATGAGACTTTCTAAGAAAAGGCTTGCGCAAGATATTAGCGTGAGAGTAGCTGTCAAGACCGTGTGCATCGTCTGTCCGTCTTTCAATCGTGAGAAGAGCTTTGAGGTCTGGACTACAGCGCTTGGCTTCGGCGCGAGGTGCCGGACCAGAAGCGCCAGAAGCGGAAGCTTTTGGTGCGGGTACACTCTTGGCTGCAAGAACAGCAATTTCACCCTTTGCTCCACTGCTTTCTCCCATGCGCCAGCGCATGTAGCCTAAAGTCTCTCTCAGGGCCATAGTTCACGAAAACCAAAACGGAAATAGATGCGGCAGGCAAGAGCGCCCAAACATGTGCAACTGGTTTAGAATATAAGCACTCACATCTCCCACAAAAATGAACAGGATGAACTTGTTTTCTATATATATAGATAATACGAACCTGCTTCATGCTTCATGTAGGTAGGAGACCATCGCTAGTACGGTGGAGGCCATTGCGTTGTGTGTCTCTCCGCCGTGCCTTCCCGCCACTCGAGATACTTGTCATAGGCACCGGCCTTCTTCAGCCGCTCGGTAAGATCTGGCCAGCTGGACACGCCCGTCTTGCAACGCCCATAATCCTCCTGAAGCACGTGGAACTAGGTTCGCCGTCTGAAACCCTCAACCGCGTTGAATCAAACCTAGAAAAATTACAGTTCGGACTGAAAAATCCATCCTGCCCCTTCTATTCCGGGTGCCTATTTGACATTGGGAATCTGCGTGAACACTTCGGCCCCAATGCACTTTGAATCACTTTGAACAGCTCACTTCAAGTCAGAGCTTCCAGGAAGAACCTTTTCCCACGCTAGGCTCGTTAGGACATAATTATCCTGGTCTTCTCAACGGAAGTGGCGATGAAAACAGCCCAGCCCGGAGACACTAAGACCGTTTCTTCCCAAAAGGTCTGACCAGTCAAAGCAATGGCCTCCAACTTAGTAGCGTCCTTGTTCCTAGTAGTAAGGCCAGGAGCCCCTAGTAGCGTCCTTTGCTCCTAGTTGCTTTGGAGCGATGAAAGGTCGATTTTGTTGTTTGCATGTCAAGAACTCAAACATGCGCCCCACTGATCCTTCACGCTCATCACCACAGATTCATCTGCTGTGACGAGTGCGGGCAACACAGCCCACACACCCACCAAGCCAGCGACAATTCGCCCTTGCCTTGGAGGAGCTACTGACAATGGCCTCCAAGCTACTAGTAGTAACAAGTGCCACGCTAGTAGTAACAGGTGCCTTACTAGTAGTAACAAGAAGCTATTAGTAACAAGTGCCACGCTAGTAGTAACAGGTGCCTTACTAGTAGTACCAAGAAGCTATTAGTGATTGATGGCCGCTACTGGCTCTCCCCTGTCCACTCAGTCGCTCACAGCAGGTCACGTGCATCAATGGGAAGCACACACCTGTTCAACTAATTCTGGATAAGCATGTTTTTTCACAAAGATCAGAGATGAAAAAGTAGGTTGGAAGCCATCGCAAGTAGGTTGGAGGACAATTCTATGAAGTTCCTTTTGTTAGTAGGTTGGAGGCCAGCCATCGCTTTTTAAGCGTGCCCTGGGGCACGTTTCCACAACCACTGCAAGAAGGCCTTGGCAAGTCGGCTGCTGAGCCATCAAAATTGTTTGCAAAAGACATGGGAATAGAAAGAAGGACGCTGCTAGGGGCTCCTGGCATCGCTACTAGGAGCAAGAGCTTCTTGTTACTACAGGTAAAACGATTCCCAAGGAAGCTTCTTGTTACTACTAGAAAGAAAGAAAACAACAAATGAAGTTTTGACTTTGGATTCCCTTTGGTTTTGCTTTACGCCTCAGGCCCCCACATGCCCACATTGAGGATGTGATGGTTGTAGATAGCTGGATACCCCCTGGACCCGTGGAGGAGAGGAACTTGATGGCTGTGAAAGCCGCGCAAAAGCCCGCGTACGCATATGGCCCGCCACGGAAGTTCACCAAGGTCGACAGGAAAGTCCAAGCCAACATGATCAAAAGCGTGGCGACCAGTTGCCATGGTATGCTGCTAGACAAAACGCACAAGGTTCTCAACACACTGCCCACCTCAAGAAACATTAATTCAGATTCAACTGAATCAAACATAAACTCAAGCACACTGACAAATGAAACATAGAAAAAACATACAAAAAACAACCACATGAACCTAAATGATCTGACCTATGGCGTCCAAGTGCAGCACTGTGGCACCAGCTGACACACCAACTCCCCGCAGAATTGCGCGACGAAGAGATCCCCTGAAGTTTGGTGTTTTTCTTGTTACTAGAAGCGTCCTTGTTCCTAGTAAGGCCTGGAGCCCCTAGTAGCGATGCACTTGTCACTAGTAGCGATGACCTCCAACCTAAAAGCGATGGCCTCCAACCTACTAGCGATGGCCTCCAGCCTAAAAGCTATGCCGGGAGTGCCCCAAATCTGTGCATTTATAACTTATAATCCAATATGAAAACCTTATCGCGGCACGTATCAAAGCAGGATGGTTGGTCGCCAAAACTTGTGGTTCCATGTGTTGCCAAAGCGTCACGCTTCGCGTCCAAAGTCGGCGAAGTCGCTACGCGCCCTAAACCTGGTCGTGTATGTGGCGCAGCTTAACGCGTCGCAGACCAAAGGAAATGGAGTTTCGGAGGCTTGAGAACATGAAGCCGCTCCTGAAACAGTCCTAGTTCTGACTTTCTGAAAGATGGTCCTGTGAAGAATACCGCTCACTGAGGCCTGTTGACTATAAGGCGTGTAAAGGGGTGATGTTTTGTTTCATGAACCCAACACTCATTCAATCGCTACTAGTAACAAGTGCATCGCTAGTAACAAGAAGCTACTAGGGGCTCCTGGCATCGCTACTAGGAGCACGGACGCTACTAGGGGCTCCTGGCCTTACTAGGAACAAGGACGCTACGAGTAACAAGAATAACTCAAAACTTCAGGGGATCTCTTCGTCGCGCAATTCTGCGGGGACTTGGTGTGTCAGCTGGCCATCGCTACGAACGGAACATGGGCGTTACTAGCAAGATGTCGCAAGGACGCTAGGGGTGGGACGATGACGCGGACACACAGAGGCGATAGCAAACATCGCTTCAACCGTGTCCGTTGGAGATGAGACGAGGTCTACCGAAGCTGCGCCTGCAAGCCTTGACAGGGACGCGTTGGCGAGGCGAGTGTGAACTTTGAATTGGAACGCATAAGCATAGCATTGCAGCATTGCCATTTTCATAGCCCGAATGCTCCAGTTATACCTGAAGGGCACCTACCCATCTGACCACTGGAGATTGTTTGCGCTATGGTTGCGCTGATTTTGGTTAACACCTTGGCCTTGGAGGGTTTTGCATGGCTCATTGTCTCTCGAGTGAAAAAAGGTGAATATTGCAACAAATCCAACATTGCCTTGACGGAGAAACTTCAATCTGCCAATCCCATCTGCCAACCTCCAGCACAGTCGAACGAGCCTTGTTCCACCCCAACAACACCCCACCCCCCACCCGAAGTATGGAAAAGGTTTAAGTCGCGACCTATGGGCTAGTGCCAGTGAAGGGCGCAACAAGTGTCCAGGGAAGCGCATTGTTGGGTAATGGCGATGTTTCTTCCTGCTGACGCGCAGTCAACGATACACCGTGGCATACCGTGGCATTCTTAGCCTTCAGAGTGAGGGAGCCTTTGGTCCGCGTGGGACTTGGCGTGTTGGGGAGTAAGCGGTCTGAACCTGCATGGATCCGACATTTTGGCAAACAATCCATCATAGACAAACCCGATCTCCCCAGAAGCGCGTGAACCACACAAAATCAAAGGACAAGGAAGGTAAAACGCCCACGTGGCTTGAACACTTCAAGTTGCAAAAATGTGGAAAAACGAAACCACCAAAATCCAACAGAAGGGTGAAAACAATAATACGGATCCACCTATCTGACCTGAACGGAGAATTTAGGCTCTTAAACTCAGTGACTTAGGGTCACAGTCCCAAAGGTTGTAGTTGAAGCTTAGGCACACTTTTAGCTCAAACACGCGTGAGCTCTGGTATCGAAATGAACACAAAAGTAAGCCACAAACTTGAACAAACGGCTGCAGTGAAACATACATCTATACAAACTATGTCATGTACACGTAACTGGTGCTACATCTGATCACGCCTCCCGAGTTTAACATCTCCCAGAAGTTAAGCGAGTCAGGGTTAGCACTCAATTAGCTCGTAGCCCTTCAGTACATCTTGATCTTGAAGAAGTACCTACTCTAGCTCAAGCCGTTCAAGCTTTCAAAGTCAGTTCATGTTCACCTTCCAGGTAGTGGAAGTTCATGCCTTTCATGGCTGTAGTCATTTTCTCTTCAGTGACAGCTTTCGTTAGCACGTCGGCCAGCATTCGGTCGGTGCCTTCCTTCTTGAGACGAAACTCTTTCTTTGCTGTGCGCTCTTGTACCCAATGGTACTGAGTGTCAACATGTTTAGCTCGTCCCAAGCCTCGACGGTTTCCCATGGCGATGCCAGCGGAAGCGTCCATTGTCACCTCTTTGCTGGGAAACAATCCCCAGTCTCTTGCTGTTGATGCGATTCCAAGCATTTGACATGCTCCCGAAACAAGTCCGTAGTACTCGGATTCGCCACTGCTCAGGGAGACAACTCCTTGGCCCTTGCTGTATGTAGTGAGACAGCATTTGTTGGCCATGAGCACGCCTCCTGACACACTCTTTCGTGTCCTTATGCAACCTGCATGGTCGGCGTCTGACCACATGTTGAAGGGGTTGCAGGTGCTTTGGTTTGGAAACAGCTGTGCAACTCTTGGTCGATACCTGACATATCGAGCCAATCGTTTCAGCGTATTCCAGTGCCTCGATGTTGGATTCTGTAGACCTTGTGCCAACGAGCGCGTTGCAGTTTGCAGATCAGGTCGATCTTGTGCCAAATACGCGGCTCTCATAGCAATAGATCTATACATTGTTGCATCTTCGGCACTCAGCGGAACTTCTTCGTGTTGGAGTTCCTCTTGACTTGGCTTGGCCAAAGGTGTTTTGACCTTGCCTGGTTGACCAGTGCCTAACCACTTGATGATCAACTCTGCATGTCTTGGATCTGGTTCCCACCAAATGCCTTCATTTGACCAGGTGATGATGCGATTCAGCACTCTGATCTGTTGACTTGCTTTTGGTGAACCTGGTGGACCGAGAATGCCTCGTTCCACAACTTGCCATTCTTTGGCTGCTGAAGTGTGAAACCATTTGATGTCATCAAAACTTCCAACGGTCGTGAAATCATCTCCATGCACTTCTGTTCGAAGTTCTCTGGATGCATGGTAGTAAATGCATGGATTGGACTTGCCTTGAACAAATCCTAGCTTCTTCATGAACTCTGCAATGGTCAGCTCCCAATTCATGGGTGCGTCTCTGGCGCCGTAAAGGCTTCTGACCAACTTGCCTACTACATCTCCATCTTCAGGTCTCTTGCCTTCTGATCAACATAGAGTTCTCTTGTTGCTTTGGAGTAGAAATGAGCTCTCTTCACATCCAAAAATCCTAGGAATGATTGTTTTGCTTTTCTTCTTTCGCCTTTCTCCAATGGAAGGCTGTCGCTGACTGCGATGGTTAGCAGTAGCTTCAAAGCTGCAAGGCTCGGCATGGCTGCGAAAAATTCGTCAAAACCTGAGCCTCTTTTGATCTCTTGCGCTACCAATCGACTTCTGTAGAGAGGATTGATTTCATCTTGCTTGTTCACATCTACCCATCGAGTTCCAATGATTTTGGTTCCTTTTGGAACTTTGCTTCTTGGGATCTTCTCCCAAACTCCCATTGATTCGACAATGTCGATCTCATCTTTTCTGGCTTTCTCTACCTTCTCAGGTAGAAGCTCTTTTCCACTGATGTCATCATAGTACCACCAGTCTTTTGCCTCTTCTGCCATTTCTTCTGGCAGTAGGATCTTCTCTTCACACACTGGTTTCTCTGGGTCGATGCTAGATAGTACTCTCTCTCTGTCTTCTAGGATTAGGCTTTCTAGAGCCATCTCAATGCTCTGGATGTCTCTTGTTCTCTCGGCTTCATCTTCATGCTCGCCTTCTGCTTTTCTCTTCTTGTCTCTATCTACTCTGGCTTTTGCTGTGGGTGATCCTGCTGGTTCATGTTGCTCTTCATGCTCTCTCTTTTCTCCATGTGGTTCAGGTTCGCGTGGTCTGCGAATACCTGATGCTGAAGCTGATGCTGTGCCTGGTGTTGGTGGTGCTGCTTCTGGTTCGTACCACAATTCTGTCACAATGTCCATCTTGTGCGGTAATGCTCCATTGAGTATCTCTGGTGGAAGGTCTGTCGTCATGACTCCACTCTCAATGATTGCGTTGTTTGCATGGTTTCTTGTGACTCGGTGCCAGACGGTAGACCAATCAGGTCCTCCTGGCGTAGTGGTTTGGAAACAATAAGCTTCGACGTCAAGTCGTGCGAACACTCGACATGAATCGGGAACTCCCGATGGTCTTTTGCTTTCATATCCATGAAGGATTTGAGGTCTCTTACCACTGACTGGTTGTGGCATGCCAGTGATTGCCTCTCCAACTCGGCTTTCATGTCTTGCCACTCTTGGGTTCTCTTCTTCTTCTCCTCTGATGCACTCTTCAAGTCTGTCTCGACACCTGTTGGTGTGATGGATGCCTGTAGATCTCTTACCAATCTGTGTGGCATCACAAGCTGGGCAACCTGCAGTGTACCCAAACTTTTCCAGGTCTTTCTTGGTAATGTAAAGTCTTCTCAGCTTTCTTTTCTTGTCATCGATTGCCGGTGGTTGAACTAAAGCTTCACCACTTGGACTGGCAAAGATTGGTTCCCTTGGGGCTGCAATCGCTGGTTCTTCGCGTATTGCTTGAGGATCCCAGGGAATCCCAGTGATCGATTTCAGCAACTCTGAATCATATCGATCTTCTTCTGGCTTTCTTCGAATGGATTGCACTGTGAAAACGCCTGTGGAATTTCCTACTATCTTCTCTGTGGTGGTGTCTTTCACTCCTAGAAAAATTCCTTTGGTCCATTGGGCCTCGAACTTGTGACCTCTCTTGAGGTATTCGATGGCCTCACCAAATGGTGGAATTGCTACTTTCCATTCACGTCCACGAAGTCGTGAATACGGAGTCTTTCCGTCTTGAAGTTCGGTGGATCGGAAAAACAGATTGTAGACTGTGGATGCGTGTTCAACTAACCAGGTCAAAACCGGTGAATCGTCAGGAAGTTTCTCACCATAGTTCGACTCGATTGCGGCTCGAAGAGTCCTGGCTTGTCC